TGGCGGCCCTGGTCCCGGAAGAACTCCCCTGCGTTCTCGATGACCTGCTCGTCTGTCAGCTGCCCGAAGGGCTGGGCCCGGCAGAGCATCAGCACCTCCCACAGGGTCACGCCGAAGGCCCACACGTCGCTGGCCGTGGTGAACTTCCCCTGTGCACGGATGAGGCCTCAGGCAGCAGACCTCCCTTCCCCCAGCACTTCCCAGGCTTGGGGCCACTCCCCCGGGGCTCTCCCCACGAGCTGCCCCCCTCGGCCCGGCCTCGGCCATGCTTCTCCCTCGGCCATGCTTCTCCCCGCTCGTCCTCTCCCTCCGCTCTTCTCCCCTCCTGCCCCCATTTTCTGGTCTCGACTAACTCCCAACTCACCCTCCTCTGGCGCTAGCCCCCGCTCCTACCACTTGGTCTCTCTCGCTCTCTGCCACCCTGACTCCATCGGCCGGGCCCACTCTTGTCTCCTGGGCCCCCCATCACGCCCTCCCTCCCTCCTCCGTGCTTGCTCCAGCCCCTGCACCACACCTTACTTTATAGATGAGACTGGGTAGCCCCGGAGCGCCCGCCGCCCCTGCAGGCATCTCACCATGAGGATGCACTCCCAGGCCATCCAGCGGATGGGCAGCACTGCCCGGCCCTGCACCCGGTAGTAGTCCCCGGCGTAGAGGTTCCTGCTCATGCCGAAGTCGGCGATTTTGATGGTGAAATTTTCCCCAACCAGGCAGTTCCTTGTGGCCAGGTCCCGGTGCACAAAGTTGAGTGTGGCCAGGTAGCGCATGCCCGAGGCAATCTGGGTTGCCACGTGCAACAGCATCGGGTAGCTGCGTAGGGGGCACGGACAGAGGGTCACTGGGTAGCCCCAGCACTCCCCCCTCACAGATCCCCAGGAGGAAGGGCAGCCACAATGCCAAGATGGAAGTACCAGGGGGAGGCTGTGGTAAGTGCCCGCCCAACCCTTCTTTGGTCGTGCGACCCCAGGGAGCCGCTGCTCTTATTATGCTCCGAGACCTAGCCTCCGGCAGTGAGGGTGAAGAGGGCACAGGGAGACTCCGCCAGGTCCAAGTCCCTTCCGCCCTTGTGGCAGGTAGGCCCAGCCTTCCTGCCCCTCGTGGTCCTCGTCCCAGGCCCTCCTGCAACCCGTGTGCCCCACCCAGTGCTCTCTGCCTGCAGGCTGGCGCTCTCAGGGCGGGGCCTGCCTGGGCAGCTGCTGACCTGATAGTGGGCCCCTGGGCGGGCTCCCCACCCTCAGGGGCCCCCTCGGCCGCCTTGTCCTCCAGCTGGTGCGCACTGAGGAACTGGTTCAGGTCGCCGTTCTCCATGTAGTCGGTGATCATGCAGAGAGGGTCGTCCTGCACGCACACGCCCAGCAGCCGGATGATGTTCGGGTCCTTCAGCCGCGCCATGATCTTCACCTCCTTCAGGAAGTCGTTCCTGGGGCGGCAGGGGAGGCGGCGAGGGCATGTGGGCTGACCTGCACATGCATAGCCCCTGCTCCACGGGCCAGCCGCCCCGCGACACACGCTGGCTCACGGGGGACGTGGGCACCTTCCCCAGACACCCCTCGGCTGTCTCTACCACATTTCTCTCTAGATCACTCTCTGTGGCCTCACCTCCACTCCCAGATGCCATCCTGGTGCTCACCTGGCATTCTTGGTGGCATCCGGCCGCAGGATCTTGACAGCTACCAGCAGGGGGTGCCCCTTGCGCACACTAAGGGGGAAATCGAGACTGACCAGCTCCTGAGGGCGCTCCACCTCACACAGGTGCACCTGCAGAAACAGGATCACGTGTCAGAGGGTCAAAGGGTCACCAAGGTCACAGGGTCCACTGGGGTAACAGTCAGATGACAGGTTCCTGCTCCAGGGTGCTCTGTGGGCACGTGCCAGCCCCCGACAGTCAGGCACCCTGATGGCTGGCAGGGTCCTCCTTACCTCCCCAAACTGGCCCTCGCCAAGCTTCTCCTTGAAACAGAGCCGTGACCGAGGAAAATCCACTCTGGGGGGCCCGTCCCCAGCCCCCCCAGGGGGCAGCGCAGGCACAGCGTAGGTGTTGCCCCCCGTGACGCCCTGCAGGGTGACAATGTCAGCCTCCGCATAGTGGGGGACGCTGTTCTGAGGAGGTGGGGGCAAAAGCGGGGCACCTGGCTTCTCAGGCTCCATGTAGTCCCCACTGCAGGCTGGAGGGTAAAGGAGAGAAGACCGGGGAGGCATCAGGAGCCGCCCGGGAGCCACACACCCCCGCACCTCAGCCTCCCCGGCTCCTGTTGGATTAGAGACTGGGTCTGCCCTCCCTCCATGTCCTCAAACAGAGAAGCTGCTGGCGTGGATGAGGCTAGTGGGCCAGAGCTTTCAAGGCACCGGCGACGGCGTGCGTCGTATTCTCTGGGCATCTCAGCACAGCCCAGAGCCCGGGAGTCTCTGGAAGAGGGACTGCTCTCCGCACCATCACAAGGAGGATGGTGCCAGCCATCTGGTCGCCCTCCGCTTTCCAAACCTTTCCGCCACTGCCAGCT